TAGGCGCTGCTTCCCGCGGCTGGCACAGCAAGAGGGCCTGTGCGCCCACCCCTGGCGTGTCTCTGGGTGGGGCCCGGCCCCTGGGGTGCATGGGTGCCACCTGGTTTGGGGCGGCTGGGCCTGGAGCGCGCACCTTCTCCAGGTGCCTCTAGGGAAGTGCGGGCAGGCCCTCCTTGGTGGCGGAAGCTCGAGCGGGTGGGTCCTTGGGCCTCTAACCCAGGGTTGCCCGGGAACCCTTTCCTGGCACAGCTTTCCCCCTGGGCAGCTCGTTCATGAAGGCTGCTCGTTCATGAAGGCTGCTCTCTGTGATGGACAGGCTTTGTCCCCTCCAGACACTCCCTCTCGGGAGTGATCCTGCGGCAGTGCCCAGCTGGGCCTGAGCCTTCCTCAGGCCTGTGCGCTGGGTGAAGGTTGCCACACCCCATTCTGCAATGAGGGATTTCTGAGGTGGTTGCCAGAGCCGGTGCCTGCGGGCTAAGGTCCATGTTAACAGTTTTCCCTCCTGACCATTTACGTTTGCCTTTCCTGTTTTTGCTGGAAGCAGAAGGGGGGCCTTGTGTGGATGCGCCAAGCGTGGTCTGAGATGGGGCCTGCCTCGGTCGTTCCCCATGGCACACACCAAGAGGCCTGGCTCCTGTGCTGCGGCCACATAGCAAGAGTTGGAATCTCTGACCAAGAGACCCAGCCGTGTCTTTGGCCAGGTCAGCCTGGAGTTTCCGCAGACCCGGGAGCTTTTACTGAGTGACACTGGTTGATGCTGCGTGGGAACCTGGCTGCTCCTCGGAGCAGAACCGCAGCAACAGGAACTCCTGCACTGGCCCCGAGCATTGGCCACTGACAACGTTGGCATCAGTTGGAGCAGGAGAGAGAACATCAAAGTGTCATCCACCGAGCACCAGGGGTCTTGGCTACCTCTATGGTCCTGTTCTTTATCTTGTCCCTAAACATCTTCCCAGGGACCCATAGGGCGAAACCAGAGCCTTCTCCATGGTTTTTAAGGCAGACGGGCATGCCATTCTGGGTGTTTAGAATGCTGACTGCGAACCTGTGTGTATGTCGTACACGAGTGCCTGCCTGTGTGTGCATATCCTCCCAAGTTAGGTTCAAGTAGACTGGGAAACAGTGTGGCAATGGAAGCGCTGGGGACACTGGTGCCGGCCGGATCCTAGGATGGCACGAAGGTGGGAGCGATTGGGAGTGAGACTAGGTGCCTTAGCAGCTTCCTCAGAGGCCCCCGCCAGAGCCAGTCCCCGTGGCACCGTGAGCAGAAGCCACTCCTGTTGGAAGGGGGAGGAAGTTATTCACAGTCATTCCAGACACCACATTTAGTCTCCACAAAACCCTGCAGGGTGGGATTTACTCCTTTACCCTGCTTTTCAGATTGGGGAAACTGAGGCTCAAAGAGGTTAGGCGTCCACCTGAAGGAAGAGGAAGAGCCAGGTGGGAAGCAAACATCTTGCTGCCTGCTCACCCCGGGCTGGCTGCACAGGGTCAGCTCCCATCATTCCCTGCGAGGCCCCTTTCTTTGCGATGGAGGGTGTGGGACACCTCCTTTCCTTGGAGGTGACCTGGTTATTTGCCTTAGAGCTCTTCCTTCTGTTAGGGCTGGGGAGGCCAGGTGGTAGGAGGAATTCGCTGTCGGAGTTCAGCTCTGGGTTCTTGGACATTTCTGAGCTGTTCCAGGTCTCAGCTCTTGGAGTGGATGAGGAAAGGAAGCAACAGATGCATCACACCCCAGTCCTCTGGGTCTTTGTCATCACTGTTCTCTGGGTCACGGCTAGCCCTGGTCACTGGGTAGCCCCCTGGTGAGGCAGGCACAGGGGGCTCTTGTCACTGATGGCTTCTCATTGTGCCGGGTAGGGTATGATGGGACCCCAGCCTCATTCCTCCGTTTCCTCAGGGGGCCAGGGCCTGGCTTGGTTCTTTAAGGCCTTGCTCCCTAGGAGGGTCCAGGGTAGTGGAGCTCAGCCAGAGGCTGGGTAGGCTGTTCAGATGGGGCCTTCTTGGTGTTCTTGGACCTGCAGCTGGGGGGTTGTCTGCCTGCCGACCACAGCCTTCCTAGCCAGCAGTGTACTTCCTGTCCTCCCTCTTGGGTGAGTCACGGAACCCTCTGAGCTTTGGCCTTCTTGTCTGTGGAATGGGAATGATGATGTATCTCATGAAGTTGCTCTGACCACTAACAGACAGTGCTGAAAAGGATGTGGTGCATCCTGGCGCCTGGGGGGTGATTTGGTGCTGGGAGCTATCATCATCATCATCATCATCATCACTGTAATTGTTACTGCTTTGTTGCTCTTTTCTGTTTCTATGTCCATCATCACATCCTTGAGGGCAGGGCCTGGGTCATGGCCTCTCTTGGCTACTCATCCTTTTCATGATCCTTCCAGGGACCACACTGGTGTTGGCCCCAAGGATGGGCCACTGCTGCCCAGGCTAGGGCTGGCCTGGACCTGCTCTGTCTAGTGCAGTCGTCACTGATCACCTGTGGCCCGTGCCTACTGTGCTGGGCAGTGCAGGGTAGAATCTCTCGTCGCAGGAAGCTGTGCTGAGCTGGACTCCACAGCTAACCTGGAGCTCTCATGGCACCGCAGCCTCGAAACATCCTCACAGTGGCTCCAACAGCCACCAGCCACCTGCTGAGCACGGACAGCAAGAAGTCTGTAATCACACAGACACTGAGTTCCTGTGGGCCTCCCCGCGTTCCCTGCCAGGCGGCCTTGCTCACCTGGCAAGGGTGGTTAGTGTTTTGGCAGTTCTTACCAGCCCAGCGGTGGGAGGGCAGGACTGGGGGTGCCCAAACTGTCCCTGTTGCCGGCTGTCCCTGTCCTGTTTCTCCAGCTCATCTTGCCGGGCAGCGAGTCCCAGAGTGATGTTCCTAATTCACAGCTTTGCACAGGCTAGGCTGGCCCAGACGCCTGACCTCACTGCTGGGGCCTGCCTCGCCCATGCCTGCTGCCCCCACCCCATTCCTTACCCACGGCCCCCTTTCCCTCTCCCCCTTGGCATGCCTGGGCCTCCAGGAAGCCCTTTCTGACCCATCACACAAGTTCGCTCTCTTGCTTGGCAAGGCCCTCCCTCAGACCTTGTTTCTGGTGCTTAGCACTTTCCTCCCTGGTTTGCTCTGGTGCTCACTCCTCTTGGCCGGGCATACAGCACATATTCCCTCAGCGTCAGCTGCACGTCAGGTCAGTGCCGCGTGCTGGCCAGACAGGACAGCAGCCCCAGGCTGCTCTCACAGCCTCGGGCTGGTCGGAAGCTCACGCTTGGCCAGACTCTTCCATCCAGGCCAGACCTGGTGCCAGCCCAGCTCAGGGGAGCTTCCCCAGCAGGATGCTGAGGTGAAGGCCAGTGCAGATGGGTCAGTGGGCCGGCCGTCCCGAGGGGTCTGTGCAGCTGGAGGAAGGGCCAGGAACGGCAGGGAGGGAGGGGGCAGGAAGGGTGCAGGCCCCCTTTGCAAGGAGTGTAAACTATGGAGGGTGTGTCTGATGGGTGGTTTGGGACCCATTCCCAGGCCATAGCTGGATCTAAATGAGTCAGAGCCTGCAATGCAATAAGCTCTCAGGAGCTGGCTGAGGAATGAACAAAGCTGAGTGAGTGCTGCGTGTGAGGGCTGGTGTGGGGCCTCTCCTTGCCCCTGGAGCCAGAGTGGGGGTCAGGACACGCTGCCCCTTCACAGCTAAAGACAGTTCCAGGGACGTGACAGCTCCGCCAGGGTCGGCCAAGGGAGAGCCAGGCAGTTCTCACTGTGTCTGCATTCTGCTTATCCATCCCACACACCTCTGGGCCCCACTGTGTCCCAAGGAGTCCCCAGTTCAGAGCCCGATGGGTACTGACAGGCCTGGGAGGAGTCAGGTTGGTATTTGTCAGTCGAGCTTTACTGGTTATGAAAATGCTGCAATGCTAATGTGCTGATTGACTAAGAGCTGTTGTCTCAAAGCCCCACCCAAAGGCCCTGCTTGGCCTCTTCCCCTGCTCCCTCCATCCGCGACCCAGCAGTAGGGCCCATCCTGGCCTGGTGTGTTTCTGGCTGTTTGCTATTTGTAGTGCCGTTCCTGGACAATGTGTGATGCCCTGGACTTCCAGGGCCTGGTGTCCTGTCACTGTTGCGCTTATTTCTCTGATGCATGAGGCGGGTGGGACTCAGCGGCCGGGCCTGGCCCCTGTGAGCCCACAGCGGAGTCTCCAGGAGCCCTGCCACTCACCAGCTCCTTCTCTCTCTCCACAGGCAGCCATGAGCACCAGCCACCCTGAGCCCGGTGCCCGGGCACGGAGCCCCCAGCCAAGATCCCTGTCCCGGAGCTCGTCCAGCCTGCTGGGTGATGGCCGGGGACAGAGGCCAGAGCTCCGAAAGAGTGCCAGCAGCACTGTCTGGCAGGCCCAGCGGGGCACCAGCACCAGTCCCCAGGTCCAGGAGGAAGAGGGGCACTCAGCTGAGAGCACGGAGCAGGCACAGGGCCCCGGCCCTGGGCCACAGCCTGGTGTCACAGGCCACTGGCGGAGCAGCACTGTGGGCAATGTGTCTACTGTGGATGGTGGTGACCTGTGTCGCCTGAGGGTCCCCAGCGCCGCTGCCGTGCAGAGGAGCCACTCAGATCTGGTCCGCCCACAGACCCGGGGCCACAGTGGGGCTCGGAGGGCCAGCCTCAGTTGCTCAGCCCTGGGCAGCTCGCCGGTCCACAGGGCACGGCTGCAGCCTGGTGGCACTTCTGGCCAGGGAGGTCAGGCCCCTGCAGGCCCGGGAAAGGACCTGGCTCCAGAGGATGGGATGTCAAGCTCAGCCTGGACCCTGGGAGAGAGTCAGGTGTGGGTGTCGCCAGTCGACCTGGGAGGCACACCCACCCACAGCAGCAGCCCCAAGGCCAGGCCCAAAGCCACTGGGCAGTCAGCTGCCACCTCCTGCCGTGCTCTGCCCCCAGCAGCTCTACTCTGTGACATGAGGGACGAGGGCGCCCGAGGCTCCTGCCATGCTCTGCCTGCCCCAGGGATCCTGGCCTTTCCCAAACTAGTAGCATCAGTGAGTGAGTCTGGGCTGCAGGCTCAGCGTGGCATGAAGTTCCAGTGTGGGTTACCCGGGGGGCATCCTGGGCATTCCCCCTGCTGTGCCCATCCTTGGGATCCCACTGGCTCAGCTATGGAGCCTGGCGCAAGGACCAAAGATGTGTGGACCATGACCTCAGCCAGTGACTTGGCCCCAGTGCTGATGTCCCCTCTGTCAGCCCAGGATGCTGGTGTGCAGGTGGCCCCCATGGCAGTGTGCAAGGCTGTGGCCACCAGCCCGCCCCTGGAAGTCCCGGTGGCCCTGCACCCATTCCCAGAGGTAACTCTGGGGTCCAGGCTGGAGGAGGCGGCGTCCCCTGTGCGGGATGTGAGGTGGGATGCTGAAGGCATGACGTGGGAGGTGTACGGGGCTGCAGTGGACCCTGAGGTGCTTGGTGTGGCCATTCAGAAGCACCTGGAGATGCAGTTTGAGCAGCTGCAGCTGGCACCTGCCAGTGAGGACAGCCTGTCCTCAGAGGGCCGGAGGGGGCCGCTGCGGGCTGTCATGCAGTCGCTGAGGCGCCCCAGCTGCTGCGGCTGCCCCAGCACAGCCCCAGAGTGAGGAGTTGTGGCCCCAAGGGCTGCCCTGCCCCCTGGACTCAGCCCCCCTACCAGGGACAGTGGGGGCTCCATGCCCTTTGGACCCACTGGCAGCCGTGGATATGTCTTTGCTGTCAGCTGCCAGCAGATGCAGGACTTCAGCCTGGGGACTTGCTAGGGGCAGCTGGACTGGTTTTTAAGGGCTTGATTCCCACAGGCCACATCTGCATATTGGGCGCTGAACTTTGGGCAGTTTCAGCACCGTGTACAAGGGAGGGCCTGATTTTTCTGTAAAATCATCTCTGTCCAGCCTCTTCAGACTCTGCTGTGACTTCCCTGAGAGTCGTGGTGGCTTTACTTGAAAGCAGAGCTGAGACGAGGAATCCTTGACCTGAACGGGGCCCAGGTGACGGGTCAGCTGGGTCTTTAGAGACGGGACCTGACGCTGCCAAAGGCTTCCTGTCTGCCACGCCGTTCGGCACCTGGCCTTGCGGAGCCTTCATGCATGGACGAAAGCGCAGACGTGTGGCCGGGCTGTGGCTGACATCCCCGGGTTGGACGACGGAGCAGAGGCTGAGGTTCAAAGCAGGGCTGGCTGAGGCCTGGGGTCTTCCTGCAGCTCGCCAGCCAGCCAGCCAGCCAGCCAGCCAGCCAGCCAGGAGGCGGTTGTGCACGAGTCCCTTGAGGCCACATTCTATGCCAGGTCTGGGTTTCTTGGGAGATGAGACCAGCTGCATGTGCCCTCGCTGCGCTCACGTGTGGAAGGGGCGCACCTCGGGACCAGGGAGCTGAGCTGTAAGAAAGGCTGCAGGTGTGTCTGAGTGTGGCTCCATCTCTCACTGTATCCGGGGTGGCCTCAGGAGTGGGAAAACAGGTGACCCCCGCCCCCAAATATGTCACGGTCCTGAACTTGCACCATTATTACCTCATTCCTTTGGTTTAAGGATTTATTTTCAGCTGGCGCAGTTACTCAACGAAGGGAGGGTAGGGATGATGGGTAGAGGAGCCTGCGATGGGGTCTCCCACTGGTGGGAAATGGCAGGGGCTGTGAGGCTGTGGGCCTATTTGCCCTGGTCCTGCACACCTGACCTGACATGGGCCAGGGCTCATGGGGTCCAGGGGATCATGGGAGTGGGGGAGCCCAGGTCACCAGGGCTCGACACAGAATGACTTGACTGCCCAAGGATCTCTCCAGGCCCACGGAGGATGGAGTGGGCTTACAGTTGGAAATCTAAGCTCCCGAAACAGAACCTGCCAGCCCACCTTTGAGGAGCCAGGTCAGTGTCTGCCGAGGGTCAAGGGCACGGGAGGGTGGAGTCAGGGCTCACGTGCAGCCCAGCCATGATGTGGCCCTTTCCTGGGCCGCCTTCTGCACCTGGGAACCCAGGCCCTGACAGCAGGCTCCCCCCTGCCTCCAGGGACTCACGGAGGTGGAAATGATCCAGGCGACAATGGGATCATTTTAGATGCAGGAGTGACATGCTACCACCAAGGAGCGAGGTGAGAAGGGCACGCTTCTGGTCAGAATGCCTTCCAAGGCCCCTCATGGGCTTTACCCAGAACCATGCCATTCTCACTTCTAGCTGGGCTGGTAAAATGCCACCCCTGCTTAAAAATGACAGCCAATCAGAATCACTACTGCCAGTGAGGCAGGGCAGAGGGTTGGCCTCGCCTGCCTTTTAAAATGGGGTCAAGCAGGTTTTCCTGTAGTCCTGAGGCACTGGGCTCTGTCCGCTGCAGCTGGGGCTGTCCTCTGTGTGTGGTGTGGAAGGGCACTTCATGCCCAGCCCTGCTCAGGGGCTCCCGGAGCCCAGTCACCAGTGGGGCCAGACTGGAGAGAGCAAATGGCTATGGGACCTGAGGGGGATGGTGAGGAACGGGATTGGGGAGGGCACTTCCCCACAGGCCACAGCTGAGCAGGGTCTTCAGGACACAGCTGGTCTGGACATGTGGGCAGAGGGGGGTGTACCCGGCAGAGAGCAGCCTACGCGGGGCTGGGAGGTGCTTGTGGTCACTGCTTGGCTGCTGCGTGCCAATCTGTGCCACCTCCAGGCTGCACATGGCTGGTCAGGATGGCAGGCTGGGCCTGGCCCCGCTTGGGAAAGGATAGTGAAGCCGCCTCCCACCTCATCTTGACTGAGATACGTCTTTGCAGGTGGTGCCCCCGGAGCCCTGCCCTGGTTAGCTTGCTGCCTTGAGACAACAGGATGGGCCCTGGGCCTCACTCGCCAGGCTGCACAGCCTCAGCCCATGGATGGGCGGCAGCTGGATCTGAATTTGCCCTGGAGACACAGACCACCCTGCCTCCTGCCTTGTCCCTCATGGGGCAGTCTGGCAGTTGGTCAGGCTCTCAGCACTGGCCACCAGCGTAGTTTACAGGTCTCCTCTCAGACCCCAGATTTCTGATCAGACTTTCTGGGTTCCCTTCAGGCTCTGCTCTGGGAGGTGGCGGATCTCATTATTTGTACATTTCTTTTGAATTGAAATAAAGTTTTGGAGGTCGGAGCTTTGCCAGGGAAGGATTATTGAAGGTCTTGTGTGTGTGTGTGTTTCTCTGTGTGTGTTTCTGTGTGTGTGTTTCTGTGTGTGTGTGTGTGTTCTTTTTTTTTCCCTCCTGGTAGATTGTGTCCTTTGGGGCCTTCATCCCAGATCACTAGAGCTCCCAGCCCAGGCAAAACCCCCTCTTGTAAGCCCCTGTCCCTCCTACCTGGCAGCCTTACAGGCCCCCAGTGACTGAAGCCGGGTGTCCTGGCCAGGACGGCAGGGCGGCATCTTTTGTCCATGCCCCAGGCTGCTGTCCCCCTGCTGGGAGTCACTAGGCACCCTCTGGGGAAGCTATTCTGGCCAGAGTGTGTGATGCTGCTGGCCCGAGGGCACAGCGCCGGGAGGTGGAAAAGCCAGAATGGCTTGGTCCCACAGTGACATCACCTTCCCTGCCCTTGAGTCTATCCCTTGGAAGTGCTGGTTTCGTATTCCATGGGCCAACAGACATGCCCCCCCCAACGCAGGCCTGACACATAGGGCGTGGGGGCGGGGCACACTATAGCTTAGTGGTGTAAACCTCAGTTTGAATCCTGGCTCTCACCTATAGCCATGCGCTCTTGGGCAAGTTACTAACTTCGTTGATCCTCAACTTCCTCATCTGTAAATGGGTATGATAATGGGGTCTCCTTTTCAGGCTGGCTGTGAAGATTAAATGGAATACCCCCCCCCCCCGAAAAGTGTGCTGGTGGCATTGGGGTCCACTTCTATGACCAAAGGCAGGGGCTAGCTCTTGCCCACACCCTGTCTCCTTGACCATTTCCTCATTAGGAGCCTTTTCCAGGTCCCTTGCCCTCTGCTCCGCACCCTGCTTGGGATATACGTGCTCTGGCCATTGCTCTCTGAAGCGAGCTCCCAGAGCCGTGCTGAGGACCATATCACTCATCACTGGGTTTATTAAGGAAGCGGGGGAGTAGAGCACAAGGTAGGAAAGGGACAGGAGCCAAGCCAAGGGTGTGATTTCAGGTAGATTCCTGCCTTGCCCAGGTCCAACTTCAGGGTAAGGCCATGGCAGGAGGGAGGACTCCGGGCACTTCTGGCTCGGCATGCAGCTGCAGTGCCAGGAGCCTGGGGCGGGTCTCTGCTGGGGGCTGTAGGGCCTGTCCCAGGGGAGGGTGCACAGAAGCCATGGGCGTCCGAGGGGTCCGGGGCACCCACCCAACTGCTGCACTCATGCCCTGAGCAGCCTCCCGCCCAGGAGGCTCCCGAGCGCGTGTGAGGCCCACAGTCTGCCAGCCCCTCTGCGAGGCGCTCTGAAGCAGCTCCCTGTGTTCACGCCAGGGCCCGAGGTTACCGTGCAGAGCTTGGCCCGTTGGTGTTAATTCCCTCCTTCCTCAGTTTTTCACCTGAAGCTAAGACTAGTCCTTCATCAGTCTGCATCCAACTTGTTAGGCAGCGCAGGGCCCGACGGAGCCTGAGGCCTGTCACTGGGTTGTCCTGAGGTCAGCACTGGTGCCCATGTCCCCGTGAATCCACATAGTCTCATGGGCAAGGCGGGCAGCGGGGCCTGCCGCGGTCCGGGTCCCCGCAAGGCGGCTCTGGTGACCACGGCTTCCTTTCCGGAGCTCTTAGCTGCTTCTGCTTCACCAGCTGTTCAGGAAGCTTGAGATCAGTAGCCAGTGAAGATTTACAGACTCTACTGTCTTACCGTTTTGAAGACTGGGGCCATCCCACCCCCAGCCCCGGCACCCCTCCTCTTGGGCACACTGTGGTCACTCGCGTCCCTGGAGGTGACAGTGAAGTGAGGACATGCAGCTGGCCACAGCCTGTCCCAGCGCCTCCTGGGGCAGCTCACCCCTTGGGTGGGAACCTTTGCGAAGCTGCTGGAGGGTCCTGGGAGATCTTCCCCTCGGAAGAACCTGGGGCCAGTTCGGTTCTGTGGTTGCAAAGCAATAATAAGCCAGGCAAGACATCTCAGAAAAGTCTAAGTTTATTTAAGAAAACTGAATCAAAACCAAGTGGCATTAGCTTATGGGATTAGGAATGGTCAGGGTGTGGGTGTG